TTTAAGTCAAAATTGTACGTACTAATTTCTCAATAAATATATATATAATTTTTCTATTTTACCAGTCTTTTACAATTAAATACTGTATATGGTCCAATTTAATTTTTATCCTTCCTCTAAATTATGAGAATTTTTAAAATATTTTTTTAGGTAAATTAATAAGAAAAACCCTTCATTTATTGGAGTAGGTGGAATTACTTCAGTTGTTTATAGTGGGATATTTGTATAAACTCTGGCCACAAGTAGAAGCAGAAGTAGTCAAGATAACAGTCAAGTCGTCACGAACTCTTCAATATTTGATTGAGGAGGTTGTCAATGTTACGTGAGGTCTATTGCCTAATTACAACGCCAATCTAATTAAAACATTTTCGCCAGATTTAGCAACATTTTGTTTTTATTGTAAACTCTGTTTTAGGTCTATCAATCACCGACGATATCGATTGTGATTGTTTTCATTGTTTGATGTTGATTATTTCAAGCCCTCACAATATTAATTTCTGATTTGAAATGCTTTTTTTAATTAATAAAATATTTTATTTCACGGATATAAAAAGCATCAAAATTCATTACCATCTTTAATTTACACTTTCTTTGTATATGGTTTGACATATTTTTTATGTTAAAAATAATTTTTTTTTAAAAATAATTTTTTAATAAATATATTTTATAATATATTAAAGAGATACCAATTAATGCCTTAAAAGAATAAGAGAGGCCACGTTGCTTTTCATTTATGCATCTCAAAATAAATAAATAAGAACTTATACATGGCAATATGACATCGATCTCCCATGGGTTAGTGCAATAACTTGGTCATTATGCAAACAATTGTTGGACTCAGGGATAATAACCTAACTGGTAATTAGAGTTAGTGTCCAATTCCTTCCTTTAAGGGTTTGCACCCACATTCATCGTTGATCAGTGTTCCACTCACAGTGTGGTGAAACATCACAATTTTTTAGGGTGCATGACTTTGCCTTTTGTATTTTTAAGTAAAAGAGTTATCAAATATGAGAGTGTCAATTGGTTCAGACCCGGGTCATCTAGCTATGATGAACTAATCTTAGGACACGTTTGAGATTACAATTAAGAGTTTTTTCACATAACTATATAATGTTTTTTGATATTTATGTATTTGATAGTTTTTTTAAAATTATTTTTTAAAAATATTACAAAAAATCATAATAAATTTATAGTAATTTTATATATAAAACTAAAAACCTCATTTTAATTACGTAGATGGGAAAAGGTGGCAATTTACACAATGTTGACTTTTAGCAAAACTATATGACTTTTAACACTAATAAGTAAAGGTAGTCTGACACAAGAAGAAAATAAACAAGAAGAAAATAAACAAGAAGATTTTGCTCTGATACCAAATTAATTACGTAGATGGGAAAAGGTGGCAATTCACACAATGTTGACTTTTAGCAAAACTATATGACTTTTAACACTAATAAGTAAAGGTAGTCTGACACAAGAAGAAAATAAACAAGAAGATTTTGCTCTGATACCAGATTAATTACGTAGATGGGAAAAGGTGGCAATTTACACCATGTTGACTTTTAGCAAAACTATATGACTTTTAACACTAATAAGTAAAGGTAATCTGACACAAGAAGAAAATAGACATGAAGATTTCTATTGCAATCTTAACAAAACAGATATAAAGGAAAACTATAAGACTGACACAATTTAATGCAGAGTTGATTTTTAACACCAAACAGATAGACTTACGTAAAAGTTTTATGTAAAATGTTAACAAATAATTTATAAGATAAATTAGACATTGAAGACAACTATATCTTTGACAAAGCGTTTCATCTGTAGATTAGAATTTGTCCATTTTTCATACCATATACAAATATGTAAATGAAAAAGCTCCGATACCATTATATATATATATATATGCATGTCTGATTATTAACAAGCAAACTATAGATTAAAATGGATCACTGACTATGTTATTTCTTGCAGGAATAAAGGAAATAATTCGAATAAAGAAAAGGATGCAAAAGAGAGAAAGATAGATGGAGAAAATGCGGTTTTCACGTTTAACATATTTTCTTTTGTATCCGATATATTGCAGAGATGAATAATAGACATGCATGCTGGGAAAAACAAAGGGGTTTATCCTTTCGTAATTTTCAGTGATCCTACCTACATATATTTTGTACCTAAATATATATGTTCAACTTTCTACTTATCCAAATTTGTAGATTGTTGGTCAGTAATATATATAAAATAGAGAGATAATTATCGCAAGGATTAATGGCAGAAGAGGTCCCTCTATTTTTATGGATGTTCAATTTAGCTCTGGAAGTTTCAGATGTCTTGGGGGGCAGTCCTTGTTCCCTGTTTGATAAGCATCCCTTAAAAATATCTGAAAATTAGGGGGCATTCAATGAGTAATATAATCTTTGTTAATGAAAGCACCTTAAATAGCCAATTTCAATATGTTTTTGGATTTTTAATTGACTAAAATTTTTTTGGGACTCTGTTTGCCATTTTCTCATATGTACAAAGAACTAAAGCTGTCAATATTAAACCCAACATGATATTATGAATAGAAGGACTGAATTAGAAATTCTGGAATCTTAAGGACTAAATTGAACATTTGGGCAAGACTAGAAGGGCATCTTCTCCAATTAGTCCTACCAGATGGTCCATATCTCACTTCCTCTTCAAACGATCTGAATTTCCTTTGCCCTTTTTTCTGGGCGTGGGCTGGAAATTAAAATTTAAAAAGCTCAACCTTAATGTACTTTGGCTCTTATTTTAATGCCAGGACTCTGGGTTGAAAAGATTATTTTGTCATTGATGTATGGGAGAAGAAGATAATAAAGATGGATAAAATGGTCCTTTTAACTTTAGACTGACATTAAAATTAATCAATTCAAAATGATCTATTGTCCTCTGGCATGCATTAATCTTAATGCATTCTAAAAATGTTTAGTATATGTTGTAGTGGAAATTATGATTGGCTGATAAAAAAAAAAATTGTAGTGCAAATTATTTCACGCCTACAGAAACAAATAGGGTCAGATGTAAAGAGAATCTTTAGTCGATTGGGATGTAATTATGCAAAAGGAGCATGAATTAATTAGTACTTAAGACTACTGCATTTCCTTGTGTACAGCTAATTCTATGAAGATCATAAAGCAGCTGCCATATGTATGTATGTATGGTACCATTTTCAGCGTTTGACCATTTGCACCATACCAATTATACATCATAATAATGTAATAAACATCCAAAAAAAACTGAGTGGCTATCATGGAATTAAAGGGGTCATCTTTAATTTGTTAGGAGAGTAGACAAGTAGGAAAAAAGTCCAAATTTCAGCAATCATATAATCACATTTAGGTAGCTTTTAGGTAGCATTTAGGTCTTGTTTGGTTTAATTAGCGTAGTAAATAAAATAGTCGATCTTCCTTTTTTTTCTTTCTTTTTTTCTTTTTTCTATAAGAATGATAAGGAAATGATCTCAAATAAAAATTAGTATTTTATATGTTTGAAGCTCAACTAACTTTAATCTCAAATAGTTTTATAAAATATAGTT